ATCCCTCACACTCCCCCTTCCCCCTTCCACCACATCCCCAAGCCCTGGATGAGGGTGATACAGGTGCACAGACCGGCATTATTTTCCCCTCTCCAATTTCCCCAACTCCTTTTATCACTACTTATCCAAACGATTTCTTCAATGCTATTTTCCAATTCTTCACAGTCTTGCCTATTTTTGCTCAATTTTAAACTTAGGGGATTTATTTTGATTATGGTTATTTCTGTAACAGAAATGTTCTCATTTTGTAAACAAAGCATCCTATGATCCCTGGAAGTCAATTATAGTTTTAAAGCCTGGAGTTTCTGCTTCCTTTATTATTGTTAAGATTGCTAAGATTTGGATTGTTTGGTTTGTTTGTTTGTTTGTTTGTTTGTCTTTATCACTGTTGCTGTTGTTGTTTATGTTTGTTTGTTGACAATAGACTCTTTGATAGGATGTCTGTGGCTTCCATCTCTTGTGTCCCAGAGTAAGTGTGGTAGGTCTGGGGAGACGATTTCCTCCATGAAATGCTTTGTTTGCAAGCCTGAGGACCTGAATCTGGCCCTAAGAACCCACACAGAAACCCAGGAGTGGTGGTCACACCTGTAATCCCACACTGAGGAAGTAGGGACAGGAGGACTCCTAGGGCTTGTTAGTCAGCCTAACATAGGTGAGCCAAGGTTCCAGCAACAGATCCTGCCTCAAATGAACAAGTGAAAATCTCCTGAGGAATGAAACAGGAGATTGGCCTGCACCCTACACACACACACACACACACACACACACACACACACACACACACACACATCACATCACAAAAGAAGATGAGAGAGTCGGGGTGACTCAGCACAGCTATTCGTATGTAATGCCTGTTAAACTCCATCTGAGCCACCTCACTGTCACCTGTTGGCCCCTTCCTTAAGCTGGGTTGGTTTCCGTCAAGTGGATTCTGTGAACTTTCACACACAGCCTCGAGGAGTCACAGGGCTGCAAAATCTCTCCATTGAGTATATTCTGACATAGGCCACCTCTATAAACTAGAGTTCAGAGGGTAAAGGACAGGGACAGGACAGGTGTCCTGGATAGCTTTGTCACCTTGACAGAGCCTAGAGCCTGAGATGTTCCTTGTGGTTTCTGTTTTGAGCTCTTCCCTTGGACGTCTGCCCTGACGTCCCTGGATGATGAATTGTGACCTGAAAGTGTAAGATGAAATAAACCTCTCCCTCCCCCCAGTTGAGTTTGGTCAGAATGGTTCATCACAGTAACAGAAAAGAAACTAGAACAACAGAGAATAGGTATATGACTACAATCCTCTCATTCTTACCCACATCCAGCCATAAGGAAAACCTGTCTTGTTATGTCCAGAGCCTGGGTGGTAGACAGTATATGGCTTTTCTTCCAGAAATCACATAACCTTCCTGGTAGCTATGATAACAGCTTAAGCAAAAACACAGTGATAGATGATAGATAGCTAGGTCTGTGCTAATAGTAATGGGGTTAGCACTTCCTAACGGAAGGATGGAGTGGAGGCTCTTAGGATTATCTTCAGCGATGCTGGCCATTACTCTTTCTGCCTCACCTCCAGCTGCAAGGTATCTTGAGAGATGAGGTGGGTCACCATGACACAGTGTCTATGAGTTTGCCATCCATCATGGGATGGGGTGAGGTTTTGGTAGTACTGCTGCTCTTGGGTCATTCATGCCCCTGTAAGTAGCCTGTCCTCTGTGCTTTGAAAGTAAGCCCAATAAATCCATCAGCTGACCAAGTTGGACTTCAGTGGAGTCATTACTTTGGTCTGGATCATAGCCCTACCTTGAATGAGGAGCCATTGTTCATGTCTAGGGGAGCCTAGAAAGCTAGTGCAACAGTTGGTCTCTGGAGTTCTGATTAGGTTGCATTCTTCTGCTTTAACAATCTAGAGAGGGTTAGTTTTAACTATCAACTTGGCAGCGTGAAATCACCTTTGAAGAAAATCTCAAATAAGGGACTACTTACATCAGGTTGGCCTGTGGGCACGTCTGTGTGAGAGTGTCTTGATTGTTCATTAAGGTCGGAGGGCCCACCTTGAATGTGAGTGGACCCTGGGTGTATAAATGTAACTGAGAACCACCAGCAAGCAAATAAGCTGGACATATTTTGTTCTGTGTTCTTCACTATGAATGTGACATAACTAGCTTCAGTCCCTGCCTTAAATTCCCTGAAATGATGTACTGTTCCCAGCTACCTCACACTCCTAACACTATGCTTTCCCCATCATGATGGACTTCACCTTTGAACTGTGAGCCAAAGTGAATTCTTTCTTCCTTAAGTTTCTCCTTATTAGACATTTTTTGTCACAGCAACAAGAAAAGTCTCCCTATCTTCCGAGAACAGACATTTGTTAATCTCTTCAGGAAAAGTTGCACAACAGGGTCTTTCACGGGGAGGACTCCTTGCCTGCCTGCTGTTCTCCCCAGACAAGAAGCAAGTAGACTAGGGCTATGTCCCTTGCAAGATTCCATCTCCATGGTACAGCCACATCACTTGGTACATAATAGACTGACATCTGCTCAGTGGAGCCATTTCTAATACACTGCATGAGGAAGGCCTTCCCAGTCTCATCAGAGAGTGAAAAACAGGGCCGTGTTTATTTGCCAACATGGAAATAAGAAAGACTAATCAGAAAGCACCAGGAAGTGAAAACCGCCAGATGTTTTCCGAGAACACAAGTCCAGGAAGACAAAATAGCATGCAATGGGGGTGATGTATATTTTTCCTAGTGATTCAAAGTGAATGTGCGCTTATTAGGCAGAGAGCGAGATTTAACGGGTTTCTCGGCTAATGCTGTAATTTTAAATCCATTTAAGATAATTTTCTTTATCTTGAATTTATTTTTCTCAGTAACCAGGATACTTAACTGATTTGCACAAAATCCATTTGAAAAAAAAAAAGGAATAATCTACTGCAAGCGAGAGCACATTCTAAATGGGAATAAAAAGGAGACACTGAAAACCTAAAGAAAATGGAGATTTGAGAAAGCAGAGCGAGCTCTTACATAGTAAATAGAGATTTTCAAAGCTCCAGTTTGGACATGGGAAGGGTGTCAAGCCCCACTGTTGGGATTTGGTGGCTGCTAAGTGTGGGCGAGTTACTCTCCTTCGGGTACATGGACCAGTAGGTTACCTGTGCCACAGGGGATGACCCCATATCCACATGCTTATGAGTAGAAGGTAAGCGATGCTGGAGACATGTTGAGGGAGATTATCTGGGGAGTTTGAGGCTAGAAATGGTGATAGATATGACCATATTTCATTGTATACATGTATGAAATTTTCAAGAATAATAGTTTAATAAGACACAATAACAACAAAAAATAATTGCTAAAATTCTTTGAAAGAGAATGTTATAATATAGACATAGAGATGTGGTTCTCAATCTGTGGGTCATGACCCCTTTGGAAGTGGAATGACCCTTTTCCCAGGGTTCATCTAAGACCATCCGAAAACAGAAGTATTTACATCATGATTCATAACAATAGGAAAATTACAGTTATGAGGTAGTAACAAAAATAATTTTTTGGTCGAAGTTGAGGGGATGGTACCACAACATGAGGAACTATATAGAAGGATCACAGCATTAGGAAGGCTGACAACCAATGATCTAGAGCCTCCAATATATTTCCTTTGGATTCAAAGCTTGAACGTAAGCTTCAGATCAATACATACACATGGATGAGAAAAGCTCGATCAGGATTACACATAACAACCAAACATTGAAAACAGCCAAAATTTCTAATTGTGAACAAAATGATCACATTGTTATATCAAAAGCTTGTGAGGCTGGAGAGATGGCTCAGAGGGTAAAACAGTTGCTGTGAAAGCATGAAGACCTGAATTTGGTCCCTGGTACCCATGAAAGTGCCCAGGCATGGGAAGACAGAGGTAGTGGCATCTCTAGGACTCACTTGCCAGTCAGCTAGGCCAGGGTGAGTCAGGGAGCTTCACATTCAGTAAAGGACACTGACTCAAAAACTAAGGTAGAAAGAGATAAAAGGAGATAGTGGACATCTACCTCTGTCCTTCGTATCTACGTATACACATTTGCCTATACACCCCTACACACGTATGTGTACATGCAGGAACACAGACATTTACACATGTGCTTGTAATATGATGTCACATAAAGACAAAACTGATACATCAATTACTCATAATCTATAGAAAACAGACTCAATGATAATACTTTAGTGTTGTCATATATTGGTACATGATAATATATAATATCAATATGCTAGGCATACTGGCTCATATCTGTAATCCCAACATTGGGATTATATCCTGATGCAGGATAACTGATCATAAGTTTGAGCTAGCCTGAGCTACATGCAGTAAGACTTTGTCTCCAAAACCAACAAATACATAAATTTCAATAGATAGAGGGTAAACAGATAGATGACAGATATAGATAGATAGGGACATAGATAGATAGTAGATACATAGATACATAGATGGAGAAATCAAATACAATAGATATTAAAACTTCAAAAATTACCATGTTTATGAAGGGATACTATGGTAACATTATTTTAAATTTAAAACCTTTTATATTGACAATCTATACATTTTTAAAATTACTTTTAAAATAGTTGTACTTTTTATTTTCTGAGATGGTGTCATGTAGCCCAGGCTGACCTACTACTACCTAAGTCCTGAGTTCCTGATATTCCTGGCTCCACTTATCCAGTGCTGGAATTGGGGGTGGGGTGGGCAGATATCACCACATCTAGGGCGTTGGGGATGGAACTCAGGGCTTCATTTCAGAACCCATACTAGACAAGTACGATATCATTTTAGCCACATCACTGGCCCATAACTTTGTATTTAGCTAATATTTCCTAAGCAACAAAAGTCCTTGATTGACTGACTATAGAAGAGACAGAACTAAATAGAAGATCCCTCTGTGCTTAGAAGTAGATGAGAAAATATTATAGATTGAGTTGAAGCTAGTCTGCTCCTTGCCAGGGCTCAGCTGTAACTTACTTAGTGGGACGATAATCTGGAATAGACCGGTCCAAGGAGATCTTTTCACTGAGGTAGGAATTGTAGCCATACTTCTCATGAGGTCCTTTGGCTTTTTCTTCTTCAGAGGGGGAAAGGGTGGCAGGAAGGCCTCCTTTGCCCCGCCCACCATACCCTTCGATGAGCCCCAGTGATTTGGATAACCCTAAAAAGGAGGAGGAAAAAGAGTTATTCTAAAACACCTCTCCTAGATATATCATGCAACCCCAAAAGAGCTTCAATTAATATTTTAACACATCTTAACACAGAGAAAATTATGACCTCAGTTTACATATCCTGTATATATGCTTGGAGAATATGCATCCAGAGGCAGGGTCTGATACATCCCAGGGTGGCTTTGAACTCAATATGTAGGATAACTTTGAACTCCTGATCTTCTGGCCTCCACTTCCTGTATGCTGGCATTTCAGGGCTGTACCTCAAGTACCCAGGTCATGTGGTACTGAGGATATTTCTATGAAAGAAATGTCTAGGCTATGCTGAGCTTTGGGGTTCATACCCAAGTGTCTACTGGGAGCCTCGCTCTTCTTTTGGAAACACATGGAACCAGAGGCCACCAACACTTGGAGAACCGAAAACCAGGAAGAAACCAAGAAATGGGATGAATGCAGGGCATTATCTGTGCCCACTTCCCCTTTCTCTTTGGGACAATCACAGCCAGATTAAGTCTTCAGGAAGGGGAAGGTTCCAGGGACCTCACAGACCTAATAAAAATCAGGGAGCCACTAGGCTGCAGGTGGGTGGATGGGGAGTATTGCTGCAGTTAACTAGGAAAGATCAGATTCATTTCCCCATGACCTAAAAGCACACGCCAGGACTTGACATGACTCTTTGCCTAATGGTTTTCTTTAAATTCCATCTCAGTGGCAAAGAGAAATACAAAATGTTTGAGGATAAAGAGAAGAAAGCCCATAAGCATACAATACACAAAGAAGGAGCTATCCCTGTGGGCAGTGGCAGCCCCCAGGATGTTGGTATGTCCCTATCCATTATCACAATATCCCATAAATACCTCAAGGAATAAGTATAGATAGCAGAGCTGTGAGAGGCTGAATAATTCAGCTAGGAAAAATTATGGCTCTCACTGACTGCAAATGTACAAGCCACTTAGTACACACACACACACACACACACACACACACGTGCATATACATACATACATGCACACACTCTGGAGTCCTGGTAATTCTAGCTCTGACATACTACACAACTTTTTAATCACTGAATCACATACCCAGTTTCTTTCTAGAGGATTCTAGCAGGTACTTTACTGTGGTCTAGGTCCTTAGTCCTTCACCAGGTAAGTCTATGCAAGTTCTCTCCCACTGAGCCACACCCATCAGCCCTTCATTTCCACTATGGGCAGCATGAATATAGATCATTTCAGCTTTAAGAGTAGGCAGCTACTGATCCCAAGTGGACCCAAACTTCACAGGAAGACATCCCTGGGCAAGCCAAAGCCAACAGCCCTTCTTGAGTCTTGGGAGATTCAGCATCACAAAACACCAAGGTGCACCATCTTATTCCAGGCATTGCTACAAATGGGAATGCATTTGTGCAACAACAAAATCAAAAGCAGCTTGGCTCAATGTAGGGCAGCATTGTGCAACCTCTGAATGGTTCCCATGGTTTAGAGTGTTCTTCTCATACTTGGACTCTCAGCTTTTAGCAACCCCAGACCCCATCAACTGAGATGTTCTCTTCTTGCCTACATCTTTGTCTTCAGTCACATGGTTCCACAGAATGTGGAAAAAGACTCGGCATCATCTTTGCCATACTCAAATGGCTTCCTGTGTCAAACACAAGCACTTAGCTTTGATTTTAAGACCATCTGCCACCAATGCAAAGCAGTGCACACATGCAATCTCATCACTTAGGAAGCTGAGACAGGAGGAGTGTGACTTCAGAGCCAGCCTGGACTACATAGGTCCCTGGATCAGAAAAAGAAATAAATAAAATAAAATCACTAGTGATAGAGCATTACTAGAGGAATGGAAAATGAAAAAGAATTCAGCAATTCTTCAACATGCCAAACACAGTGACCATAAGACCAAGGGACTCGATTCCTGAGTGTATATTAAAGCAAAATAAATGTGTATATTCACACAAAGCTAAAATCAATGGTCATAGCTGGTTTATGCATATTACACAAGTGGCATACAGTGGTGTATTTGGCAATAAAAAAATAAAGTGGCCATGCATGGTGGTCCACATACCATACCATATAGAGTAGATAGATTGATGATACCTGTCTAGATGATGAACACATAGATTTATGATTTATAGATAGTTGATAGATATGAAAGGTGATAAATAGGCAGATAGATGATAGATAGGTGATAGATAATATATGATAGATAATAGCTAGCTGATAGGTAGATATATGATAGCTATCTAACTGATGGACATATAGATACATGGTGGCTAGACAAATGACAGATGATAGATAGATATGACATATAATTGATAAATAGGCAGATAGGTGATAGATGACAGATGATACTTAGATGATTGACAGGCAACAGATAAATAGATGGCAGATAATAGGTAGAAAGATGTGTGAGCAGGTAAATAATATAGATATATAAATACAGATGCATGATCAATAGAAGATTAGGTAGCTACAAAAGAGATATGGATAGATTGATGACAGATGATAGAGCTGATATATATATATATGTGTGTGTGTACACACACATGTAAATATGTATGCATATATATGTATATTGTATGATTATGTATATATACACATTAATACACACACACACATACACACAGATGTGAAATAAGGCTCTTTGGGTGCAGCAGGGCCAAATGGTCTCCTGAGAGCTGGGATCACAGGATGTTGTCAATAGTTGATACTCTAGGATCTATAAAACACCCTTATAATGCCATAAACACATGGCCCTCTTGTGATGAGCCATTCTGTTTCTAACAAGACAAAACATAAGAGTACACATAAAAACTTTCCAGTGAAACATTCAATAAAGTAATTTTAAATTGCATAAAATACAGAGCCAAACTTATAAGAAAGGGAAACTCCTGAGATGCATAAAAGGGGGAACAGAAACAGTCCGGTCGGCTGAGAAAGGAGAGATGGGTTGATCATTAACTAAAGGCTGATGTATGGCACAGGGGAACCCAAGTTCCCCAGGGAAATAAAATTGAAACAGATTTGTAAAGGTTGGCATTCCCTTAGTGAGTGTACTTTGAAAGGAAGCATGGAGTATTGTTGTTGTTGTTGTTGTTATAGTAAAAGAGCTGGTCTGGTATTTGCCTCAATTGTAGCATACTTGTCTATAATCTGTCAGGGAGGGGCTGGTGATATATCTCAGTGGTAGAGCACCTACTTAGTTTCTCTGAGCAAGTGGCTGGAGTATGGCCCAGTATTAAACACCAGACCAGAATTCCTCAGTGAGGGGTTGGGGATGTAGCTAGAATTCTTCAGTGAAGGGATGGAGGCATGTCTCTGTGACAGAGCATTTGCCTAGAATCCCCCAGTGATGAGCTAGGAACATAGTTCACTGACCACACAACCTAGCCATCTTTGTACACTCCAGGCTCCAGTAAGAGACCCTGCCTCAAAAATCAAGACGAATAGCACCTCAGGAATGATGACCAAGGCTGACTTCTGCTCTATACATGCCACCACATGTACAATCATATGTACACACACATACATGCAAAATAACATAGAAATAAAGAGTAAGAATACATGCCCATTTGACCAAGGACATACAGGGAATTTGGTTCCTAATGCAATTTTTTTTCTTCCCCTGTGGTATGACTTCTTCTCAGGATGAAAGACTCCCACTTAGCAACTTCACCAAAAAAAAATGCCTCCCAGCACAATGTGACAACTATGAATTATATATTTCGTGGTCCATGTGTTTTTCCCCCCAATTTCATCTGCCAGAGAGATGCAACAAGGCAGCACAAATTTTCTCAGCATTTTAATGTGTTTACTTAGCAAGCTCCCAGAAACCACTGGCAAAGACAAATAAGAGTTCAAGTCCATGGATGAAGGCCACATTAGTCTTTGTGCCAGATTGTTGCCACTGGGATTCATTGAGATGACCCCCCACTGTATTAGTCACCTCCACACCTCACCTCTGTAACAATACCTGACTAACACAACTCGTGGAAGGAAGGGCCTATTCTGACTTACAGGCTGAGAATACAGTCTATCAGAGTGAGACAGCTGGACCTGGTATCCTCAGGAAACAGAAGAATGCGGTGCTCAGCTTACTTTCTCTGTTCTATTCTGTCTGGGACTTCATCCAGTGGGATGGTACTCCCCACATTTAGGGTGGGTCTTCCTTCCTCAGTTAACCTACTCTAGAAACCTCATCACCGACATTCCCAGAGATGTGTCTCCTAGGTGATTCTAGATTTGTCAAGTTGGATGTGAATATCAACCAACACACACATGCCGCCCCTGGAAATGCTTCTATTCCAAAAGAGTCCCTTGCTCTTTGGTGTAAAGCATTTATAGCACAAGGACCTGTGTTTTCTCCCTAGGGCCTTCATTTATAAGGCCAAGCACAGCAGAACACACCTCTAAAGACCAGCAATGAGGAGGTGGATCACTGGAGCTTACTGGCAAATCAGCTTGGACTTTTTGACCAGTTCCAAGCTGAGACCTTGTCTCTGTAAGAACATCTGATTTTGACCTCTGTTTTCCACACACAGTTGCACACACGAACACACAGTAGCATGCACACACACACACACATGCACACGCACACGCGCGCACACACACACACACACACGAACACATGCACAGTAGCCTTGAGAAAGTCATCTAAAAGAAGAGTGAATATAATAATGAATCTATATTCATAAAGAGGATGGACACTAATGAATGTCACAGAGAAATCAAGCTTGAAAAAGGCCAGCTGGGAGTTGGAGAAAGGGCATTAGAGACACTGAAGACAGCCTTGTCAAGGAGGAAAGTGTCCCCAGGGTGAGAAAGATAAGAAATAGGAAGCAAAGCTGCCTCTCAGTGAAGATGCCTGCATGGAAGAAGTAATGATCTAGTATTAACAAGAGCTTTTCATTCCCACAATAACTAACCAGAATATATAATATTGAACCTATACATAACAGCAACAATATTGCATCAGCTCCAGCAATAACCAATAA